AGAGGCTTCTCTTGCCACTACTGCCCAGCAGGACTCAGTGTCTCATGAAGCACTGTGCCTCTGTGAGCAAATCTGCTTCACACTTGATGACATCTAGGTGGAAGCTAGCTGGGCATTGAGACCAGGGGATCCTCTCACCTTGATTTCTTCCTGGGCTTCCTGTGGTATTTGTCTGCACTGACTCCTGATTCAGTCAGTTTTATAGTCAGACTGTGGAGGTTCATGTGTTAGAATGTGTTGAGGCTGCTTTTGTGTGCTAAGTATGAAACCTGAATAGCACTTTTTGCCCTAGAGCAGTGGTTTTCAACCTGTGATCCGTAGTTTCTCATATTGTGGTGACCACCCCCCCCAACCATAAAAGTATTTTATTGCTATTTCATAAATGTAATTTTGCTACTGTTATGAATCATAATGTAAATAACTGATAAGGAGGCTACCTGATAGGTGACCCCTACAGGTTGAGAACCACTGCCCTAGAGTGTTCATACCCTTAGGGAGCAAGAGAATCTAGAGGGTTTTTTTTGTTTTTTGTTTTTTTTTTGTGCTGGAGGTCTAACTCAAGTTAGCACATAAAAGGCAAGTGCTTTTATACCCTCCCCACCCCCCCCACCCCCGCTCTTAGTGAGGTTATAGTAAAAAAAAAAAAAAAAAAAGTTTGAGAGCCAGGCATGGTCCCAGCTGTTTAGGAACCTGAGGTTGGAGGATCTCTTGAGCCTAGGAATTCGAGTGTATCCTAGGTCAACATAGTGAAGTCCTGGATGGGAGAAAATGGAAGAAAAAAGAAAGAAATTGAAAGTTAAGATTCTGTTGGGGTGGTGGTGCATGCCTTTAATCCCCTGCTCAGGCAGGCAGATTCCTATGAGCTTGAAGCCAACTTACTTTACTTAGAGAGTTCCAAGCCAACCAGGAATATATAGGAGATCATGTCCAAAAGAAAAAAAAAGAAAAGAAAAAAAGACAGGCTGGGCAGTGGTGGCGCACGCCTTTAATCTCAGCACTGGGGAGGCAGAGGCAGGCGGATCTCTGTGAGTTCGAGGCCAGCCTGGTATACAGAGTGAGTTCCAGGTCATCCTGGGCTACACAGAGAAAGATACAGCTCAACTGGTAGAGTGCTTGCCTAGCATGTACAAAGCCCTGGGTTTGATCTCCAGCACACATAAACTGGGTACTGTAATCCTAGCACTCAGAAGGTGGAGGCAAGAGGATCAGAAGTTCAAGGTTTTCCTTGGCTACCGATGAATTCAAAACCAGCCTGGGATCCATGAGATCCCATCTCCAAAGAGAAGGAGAGAAGGCATTAGTTCTAGGTCCCAGAATATAGTCTGTAAAATATCAGTCCTTGAGGATGAGCTCACCAAAGAACCCCGTGATTGACTCTACTGGAGAGTCACAGACTGCTGTAGTAAATTGCTTGAGAAACTTGGAAGTTATGTGTTTACCAAATTCATAGCACCACAGAACTTCACCACCTCCACATAATGCCTTACACTGTGCAGAAATATGTTTGGGCCAGACATGGTGAATGCCTGTAATTCCAGCACTTGGGAAATTTAAGCAGGAAGACCTTGGGTTGTGCTTACCCTGAGCTACATGGTGAATTCTATGCTAGTCTGGATTATACAACATGATTCTATGTCAGAAAACAAAACTATGTTTTGAAGGAATATCTCTCCAGAAACATTGATCTACATGTGCTCTCATGTTGGGGAGGATATGTGCACAGTCTGGAAGCTTTTGTATGAAGGGCCCTTGGCATTGTAGAGATCATCACCCAATCTCTACCACATGAGGGGACTTGATTGTCAGTCATTGGGGAAGTGGGTGGTAGGTACTGTGTTGTGACTTTTAGAAGAGTGAAATTGGGACATAGGGATGTGTACTTTTCTCTGGAATCCCATAGAAGGCAGGTAACCATTCAACAGGTAGATTTCTGAGAAGGGAATTGTGAGAGAGGCCGGGGTTCTAATTACTGAAAATAAAACTAAAAACTTTCCCCTCTTTTTATTTTTCCCTACAGATGTGGGACCTAGGGAAAGGCCTGGCGATCCCCCAGGTGCAGCAGTCTGGAGTGGCTGTCTTGGTTCTTGCTGTGCTGTGCTCTGCGGGGCTGGCAGCCATGTGAAGAGCTGAAATTCCAGCATGGTCCTATACATTATCACACTGATTTATGTTCCTGTTTATCACTCTTGTCTCCATCCACCAAGGTTCCCCCAGTTTGTGTAGATGCCATGAGTTGCAGATCCTGTTGGAGCTCAGTAGAGAAACTTGAAGAACGGTAGTAGTAGAGAAAGGTCCTTCTCCCTGGGCCCAGGAGCCCTTACTCCCTCTCCACGTTTGATTCTGATTTGTGCTGAGGGTCGGCTTTCGGCTCCTTCTTGCTGAGACAGTGGAAACAATGCCAGTTCTGTGGCTGCCCTGGGTGCCACTGCCTGTGGGCTGCTGGCTTAAAGGACAGTTCTGTTCATTGGTCTGCTCAGGGCCTTTAGCACCCACACAGTGTGACTGAGAGAAGAGAGGTGGAGGTGGAGGGATTTGCCCTGTCCAGCTAGAGGGTGATAAAGAGCGAGTTGGATCTTGGAAGCTCATGCTTGGGGGAAAAGACATACAGCTTTTGATGGATGAGGAAGAGCCAAAAAATTGTATTTTCTGTTCTTTCTGTTTTTCACTTCTAATAAAAACACCTTTAATGTCATGTTTTCTAATCTAAATTCTTGTACCATCTTCTTTGGAAACGATTAAAATACTGCTCATTTCATGTTTGACTCTTTGGAATCTAGTGAGGGTTAGTAGAAAGGATCTCATTTCTGCCCTTTCCTTTGGGTCTTGGACATTTACACCCTCCAGAATGACCTTTCCTAGGAGAGAAATAGTTTGTTCCACAACTGACCACTGGAGAAAAATTGAGGTAATCACATACAAGTAGTGAGAGATTTGGGTACTACAAGGAAGCCTCAGAAAAGAGTAAAGAGGGGGGCAGCTAAGCATGTTGAGAGCTGGTTTTTGTTTGTTTGGTTGGTTGGTTAGTTTTTGAGCTCAGGTTTCTCTTTGTAGCCGTCGCTGTCCTGGAACTTGCTCTGTAGACCAGGCTGGCCTTGAACTCACAGAGATCCGCCTGCCTCTGCCTCCTGAGTGCTGGAATTAAAGGCATGTGCCACTACTGCCCAGCTCTGTTGAGAGCTTTTAAGGTCTTACACAGGGTCCCATCCCATCCTTTGGATAGCTAGTTATATAACTCATGGTACAGTTCAGCAAGTATTTCATTTAAGGACACCTGGCGCCAGTGGAGGTGATAGCTAAGGGCTAATGACTTACAGAGGCAGATTTGGGCAGTGAGGTGGGGTTGGGGGCAACTAGTAGAGAATTTTTAAAAGTGGAACAGGGTGTCAGAATCCCAGAAAATATATGTAATAGGAAAACTTACTATTTGACCCCTACTGGGACCCTGAATCTTTAGCAGGAGTGCTTTGTTTATGGTGCTAGGGGTCAAAGTCAGGTCCTTGTACATGTTAACAAGCATGGTATCATGAACTAGTCCCCCAGCTCAGAGTGCTATCTTGATACGTTTTTCCAGCTCTGGAATAAAAGATTCATCTTGGGACTAGGTATTTGGCTCCATGGTAGAATGCACAGAGCCTGTGGTTCGGTCCCCAGCACCAAGAAAAACTACTCCAGATCAATCAGAGCAGTGGATGAGGAATGATGTGGCCACTGAACAGGAAGACAACGTGAACTCAGCGCTGGGGTGGGGTAGGATGGGATGGGGTGCTGCTTTAGTAGTCTCTTGAAATCTTCTGAGAAAGGGCCTCACCATGCATCCTTGACTGGCCTGGAACTTTAACCCAGGCTACCTCCAGCTGGTGCCATCTTGTCTGCCGTCTGACTGCGCGATACCACCACCCTCTGCTCTCGGCCATCTCTATCCTGATCCCCAGTAGTCACTTCCCCCTTTTCTCTAGACGGGGCCCTGGGAAGTCTTTTGTGGGGCTAGGGATTGAACCTAGGGTCCCATTCATGCTAGGTAAGCACAGCCATAGCCCCAGCCCCCAGGCCTTACCAAGTTAAGGCCAGACAGACGGATGATCTTCCTGCTTCAGTCCCCCAAGTAACTGGAATCACAGGACTGTGCCACCACATCTGACTATCCTAGGAGGTCGTGCAGAGTTCCTCCAGCTTGAATCGGCTGTCTTCCAGGTTGTCAGTGTTCATGGGGAACCACCTTTGGCTTTAGACTTGGCAAGGGCATTCAGCTTAACCAGTGCCAGCAAGATGCACAGCAGAGGCAATGGTTAATACATTTGGAGGCTGGGAAACAGATGTGGACTTCTTGACTGTTTTGACGGCTTCTTAACCATCCAGTGAAGGAAGGGGAAGTGGAGCACCCTGGCTTTTTTCTTTTTCTACTTACGAGCTGGTCTGTCCGAGATCTCTCAGTGGGTATATATATGCTTCAGCCGCCAAGCCTGACGACCTGAGTTCGATTCCCAAGATCCACGTTGCAGAAGGAGGCAACCAACTCCCACAGTTGTCCTCTGACCTCCACAAGCTTGAGGTCCATCTACACATATTCGTTAAGTAAATGGATAAACATAAAAAGTTTCACAGGCTCTACTAAACAACTATATTTGTGATTTTGAAGATACTGGTTGTACAAAGTTCGGTTCTCCAAGGGTTTGCCCTTACGTGATGCAGACTAGCTTCCTCTTGGTCAATGCTGAAGTGTAACTGACATTTTAATAAAGACCTGCTTGCCAGGTGGCGGTGGTGTACGCCTTTAATCCCAGCACTCAGGAGGTAGAGGCAGGTGAATCTCTGTGAGTTCTAGGCCAGCCTGGTCTACAGATTGAGTTCCAGGAAAGTCAGGGCCACACGGAGAAACCCTGCCTCGAGAAACAAACAAACAAACAAAAAGACTTGCCGTCCTTTTCCCTGATTTCTTCCCCAGCCTTCCCTTATGGATTGCAAAAGACAGTCATAGAACGAGGAGAAAACCCAGGTCAGTAAAAGATTCAACAAACAATGTTTATTCGCCCAAATTTGCCTTTACTCCTGGCCCACTGTTTCTCTGCTCCACGTTTCTGAATACAGGGGTCTTACTTATTTCAGTCAGTCCCTAAAATGTCATCTCAGCCTCTTCCCCTGCAGAATTGCAGCTTTGTATGTCTGGATCTCGGCTAGACTAGGACCTACCTGCTTGGTATTCTAACATGGGCTTGCAGGTAGGGTCTTGGGAGAGTTAATGGGAGTTTGGGGACCTGGTGTGTGACCTGCAGAGGGGTGTGAGCTTTGAGTTTCATCTGCGTCATCGCCGTCAATGGTCGGGGAGCTGGGAATTATGGTCGGATTTGCTGCTTGCTGTACAGTCTTTGTGACAGATTTCTTCTGTTTCTTCTGACAGTCGGGGTTATGGGGCTGTTGGGGTTAGAGTGGAAAAGATGATCATATTTCTTGTTAGGCCTAGATAGTTCCCAGTCATCCTTAGAATCGGACTCCCTTTCTTCCTACCCCATGGGCAGAAGGTCAAGTTTCGGCCAAGAATAGTTCAATTTAACCTCCCTTCCAGACTGTTTTCTACTGGGGTTAGGAGTGTGGAACAAGATGTCTTTGTTTTGTTCCTTTGGACCTTAGTGATTAGAGATTAGACAGCAGAAGACAGAATTGGTTAGAGGTCCCTCCCCTTGCTGGATTGGCATAACAGTTTTGAGGTGGAAAAGAAATGGAAACAGTAGGGTTTGGGTTAGATGGGAAGGCTAGATACCTTGCCTAAGATTTCCGGACGCAGCCCATTAGAGGCATTGAGTAGATCAGGGTTCTTCTTTATCCATTTGGTGAGAGAGGCAGCAGCAGCCGTGGTGCGGGAGGTCAAGGTCACCCGAGCAGGTGGTACCTTCAGGGGCATTTGCCAGGTGCCCATGAAGGAACCCCAAGGACTTGCCTAAAAGAAAAAGGGAATGCTCAACAGATCCTCCTGGCTGCTAAGTGTCTGCCTGGCAGGGCTTGCTGGCCTCACATCCATTCTGCCCCTTTGGCATCTTAATAATGAAACATCTGAAGGGATCATCTCCCCTCCTCCTCTCTTCGGCCAGTTACGATGCTGTTTTTTAGCCCGTTTCCTTCCAACATAAAATTTTGCATTCTTAGACTAAGTGTGATAAACGAGTTCCGTGCATAAATATTGTCATCTGAAAACATTGTTTGTATATTCATCATTTTCAGGACTTCCATGTGCTAAGCCAGCTCTGTCCTGGTGGGTAAACTGGATAGAACATTGGGGTGCTCACAAGTTGGACTTCAATTTTCTATGTAGTGACTGCAGCTCCATTTTTATGCATCAGCTCTTTTGGTTTTGTTTTGACACAGCATCTCTGTATATAGTCCTAGCTGGCCTGGAATTCACTCTGTAGACCAAGCTGACCTCAGACTCACAGAGATGCTCCTGCCTCAGCCTTCTGAGTGCTGGGACTAAAGGTGAGCACCACCACACCTGGCTAACTCTTCCCTTTTTGATATGAATGGGCGTGGGGAATCTCACCTTGGAACGGGGCACTGAAGGCAGGAGATGACCTCGATCGTTGGCAATAATCTGAGTGTAGCCTTCATGGCTGGTGAGTCTCTGGGGTGGGGGTGGGAAGAGAAGTACTTGAAGTCAAAGAGGGAGGAAAACGGTGTCTGGGGGGCATGGGAGAGGAGAAGGCGGACCATTAGAGGGCAAAAGGAGCTAGGTGACAGGGAGGCCATGAGGCCAGTCCCCATAGCCTGGCCTTGGAGGGCACTGAGCTCAGAATACCTCTTTTGTTGGCTTGGCAGGAGACCAGTTCTGCAGGTACTTGGGTGAGAAAGCTTTTTCATACTGTGGAGAAAGAGGAGAGTTCCTGTGAGGCTCAGAGTCTTCAAGCCCATGAAATGGTGACAGTTCTCTTTAATTGAAAACCAAAGGCCTCAACAATTATATGAACTCTAACTCATTGTGACAAGGGGATATGTATGTATGTATAGGGAGGAAGAGATTTTAAGGGAGGGGGAACTAACGACCCTGCCTACACACACACACACACACACACACACACACACACACACACACACACACACACGAAGAAGGAGAAGAAGGAGGAGGAGGAGGAGGAGGAGGAGGAGGAGGAGAAGGGGGAGAAGAAGAAGAAGAAGAAGAAGAAGAAGAAGAAGAAGAAGAAGAAGAAGAAGAAGAAGAAGAAGAACCCACTAAAATTTGAATTCTAAGCGAACAAAATGTTTTCTCCAAAAAAAAAAAAATTCCAAAACTGTGTAGACAGGGTCCCATTTTCAAGCTCTGGATGGCCTGGAACATCCTATATAGACCAGGTTGGCCTCGAATTTTCAGTGATTACTTTGCCTCCTTGTCCTAAGTAACTAGGATTACAGGTATGTAGCACAATGGTCAGATTTGTGTGTCTGTCTGTGTGTGTGTGAGGGGGTGGGGGTCTCATGGAGCTCAGGCTAGCTTTGGATTCAGTATGTTAGCCAAGGATGCCTTGAGCACCTGATCCTCCTCCTGCCTCCAAAGTCCTGGGATCACTGGAGAGTACCTCTACACTTGCCTCAGTTATTATATCTTCAATTTTAAACAAATTTTAAACAAATTAGGGACAACTTTCATGTAAATAGCTATGACTTTGTTATTTGACTTACAAAGCCTAAAAGGTGTACTCTGGCCTGTAAAAATAAAATCAATGCCTTCTGGCTTACACTCTACAAACTTAACTCGGGGTCCTTTTTGCTTGTTCCTGGACCCTCCCAACTCTGAGGTGAAACCCCACCTCAACCCACACAGCATCTGTTTAGAGATCAGAATCTGATGGAAGGGGAGGCCCAAAGGTAGAATCCGGAAGGTAAAATCAAATGTTAGGGCGGAGAACGAGAACTTACCTGGTTAGCACTGTAGTTAGTGGCCATGATCCTGTCCTGTTTACACTTGTTGCCTGGCAACTACAGAAGAGCGGCCTTCTGGGAGTACCTCCCAATCCGCAGGGGTGGCCTACCTTCCGTGGCTCACACTGCCCCCTTCCTTTCTCTCTGAAAGTTGGGTTCCTTTTCCTTTTAGAGTGTGGAGGACTGAATAAACATTAAAAAAAAAATGAGCTGAGAAGCAGCTGCCTCTTTCCCCAACATAAGTTAGCCCTGCTTCAGAATTTCCAGGTTGTCTCTGAATGACAGCTTCACCTATGTAAACAAGCTTTGGGACACCAGGAGCTGAGTGTGTGAGACACTGTGGTATAATGAACTAACTGGAGAGCTAGAAACAGGGCCGAGTCCTTAGTCAACATGCTATTATATGGCTTAAGCCGCTGGCTTCCCTTCGATCAACAGCTCTCGTCACATAGTGTAGTGATGACCTGCTTTGCACAGTGTAGGATAACGTGATGTGAAATATCTAGATGCTGTAAACGCACTGTGGGAACCGAACACAGCCAAGACACTGTCTACAGTGTCTACAGATAACAGAGGCACCGTGCTTAGGAAGCCACCAACTTGTGTGCGCCCAGAAGGAAATGTTATGTCTTGTCCTTGGTCCTTAAATGACTCCTCCATCACTGTCCAGTCACAGAACCCAGGAGCATAGGTTCATGGGGTTGGCTGGGATATGGCAAATTGGGACCTAGGGCAGGAACCCGAGCAGGGATGATGAAAGTCTAAGACTAAAGTACCAGGTTTGGGAGGATGGAGTGATGGCGCCCAAACGTACTAGCTAGAAAACTAAGAAATGCTCTGAGACACATCTACTTTTCTGTTAAGCAGATCAACTCATCTACTGGGGTGTTAGAACTAAAGAGCGCTTGTCAGTTATATAGTACCGAGTTTTTTTTTTTTTTTTTTAAGAAGAAAATAAGTTGTCCAAAGAAATAGATACTTCAGAGCCAGGTATGGCTGTGCATGCCTGTGATCCCAGTATCCAGGAAGCAGAGGCAGGAGGATCTCAAGTTCAAGATCAGCCTGGGTTACAAAGTAGGACCCTATCTTAAAAAAATAAAGGAGGGACTCACGAGGCCCCACTCCTCTCTGGGGCTATATAGGCAGTTAACAGTGGCTGGGGGAGGGGCTCACACGGCCCCACCCTTCATGTGGAGCCAGTGGCAGTTAATGGTTGCCGGGGGAGGGCAAGATCTTTTTCTTTAGGGTTGTAGCCAGCCACTGGTAGGTTGCCTGCAAACAGCCTGCTGCTCATGCAAGCAACTCTGAGCTCAGTAGGACATCCACACACTTACACGCACACCAGGGCATGGCGGTGCCTTTAATCCCAGCACTTAGGAGGCAGAGGCAGATGTATCTCTGTGAATCTGAGGTCAGCCAGGTCTACAGAGGAAGTTCCAGGCCAGCCAGGGCCACATAGTGAGACCTTATTTCAACCAACAACAAACGTCCACATAACATGGGAGGGGGACTTGTTGGGGAGCAGAGGAGGTTCACTGGGAGTTGGGGATAAGAGAGGATAAGAGGGTAAATATGATCAGAGTAGATACATGTATGAAAAGGACACAATGAAACCCATTACTATATAATTAATAGATGCAGGTTTAAAAACAAGTGTCGAGGGGCAGAAGGGAGCTGGAAAGATGGCTCAATGATTAAGAGTTCATGCTGCTCTTCAGTGGACCCAAGTTCAGTTTCCCAGCACCCATGGCTTGTATATTCTTTTGTTCGTTTGTTTGTTTGTTTTTTGAGACAGGGTTTCTCCATGTAGTTTTGGTGCCTGTCCTGGATCTCACTCTGTAGACCAGGCTGGCCTCGAACTCAGACATCTGCCTGCCTCTGCCTCCTGAGTGCTGGGATTAAAGGCGTGCGCCACCGCTGCCCACACCCATGGCTTGTAACTACCTGTAACTATAGCAACGTGGACTCTGACATCCTCTTCTGACACAGCCACCCCAACCCATACATACGGTTAAAAAGAAAATCTTTTACTTATTATTTATTTATTTATTATTTATTTTTTTAAAGAAAGCAAGCTGCATGTGGTAGCTCACACCTACAATCCCAGCACTTGGGATGCTGAAGCAAGAGGATTGTTACAAGTTTGAAGCTAGCTTGGGTTACTTGAGACTCTGCCCTCAAAATTCGGGGGAGATAATTGTTAGTTCTTTCTTCCCCTAAGATCTTTATCCCATTCAACACACCCTGCATAAGGACACTCCTGACCCTTCTAGATAATGGGGTAAGAACAGCCCTTGTTAGAGGCTGTCACAGTTAGCTGCTGGATATTGTGACATAGGAAAGGAGACCCGTGTACTTTGTCCCTGGATTCTCATTAGTCTCTAGCGTGATGAAGGAGACGAGTTATTTTAGGACCGAGGACTGTCTCTGCCCTAGAACATCCATTTTGTCCCCAAGAGGCAAAGTGACAGTTCTGCACCCATGGTTTCCCTGGGAATTTCTGTCTTCTTTACCTGCTGTTAAGGCAGTTTTCCTTGGCTCTGTGGACAGTGTGTAAACATGGGGCTAAGCGAGGACAGCCACCAGTGTCCATCCTGGAGCCAACTTATCCGGGCAAAATTCTGGCTGTGCTTGGAATCTGAGGCCTTAGGGAAGTTCATCTGCGCAGGCCTCAACAACCTTGCATGGAAAACGAAGACTGTCCTGGCTCTGAGCATTAACTATGCGTAACATACCGTGGTAAGCATTTGCTACAAAGAGGGATTGATAATTTTAACATTGTTATTAAGAGTGCCCAGAGGGATGGATGTGGCGGTGCACACCTTGAATCACACGGGGGTGGGAGTGGGGAGGCAAAGTCAGGTGGATCTCTGTGAGTTTGTGGTCAACCTGGTCTACAGAGTGAGTTTCAAGCCAGCCAGGAAGAAGCCAGCTTCATCTGGAGCCACCATGCTCTTCCACCTCGATGGGAGCTCCAGACAGGCAGAAACACGGAGTGCAGGAGAGAACCAGCTCGAGAGCTTTCCTCCATTCCCCACATGCTCCGTGGCACGTGAGTGCGAATGCGTAAGCACACACACACACACACACACACACACACACACACACACACACACACACACACAGATCTGTTCCTGTTAGGTTAAACAGAAAAGGGTGGGGCCCTAGAACGTTACAGGTGTATTTATTAACATTCTCCAAGGTAAGAAGCAAAACCTCCTGCTGAAAAAACAACCTTGGGCCGCAAAGGACAGAGGAATCTGGAGGGCAAAGCACAATCACCAGGAGAAATTTGACTTTTCTCCTTCAACACCTTTTTCTCCCTTCACTACAGACGTCGATCACGTCAGCCAGTGTGCGCCCAGGCTGAGAACCACTGTCCAGAGATGAGGCGAGTTATTCTCAGACAGTCCGACAGTGTAATAGGAGAGAACGGAAAGGGCAGAAATGACTCTGGTCAATGAAGGGGCTGGGATGTGGCTCTACTTGATAGAGTGTCTGCCGCACAAGCAGGCAGCCTGGGCTAGATTCCCATCACTGCATAAATCAGGCGGTCCCTGTAACCCGGTGCTTGGGAGGGGAGGCAGGAGGATCAGCAGTTCAAGGTCATCCTCAGATGTATATGGGTCTGATAATAAATAATAATAGAAAAATAGCAAAATAAAAATGGAGACTTGCTTTGCTTTGAATGAATGGGTCTTTTACAAAAATGTCTTAAAACCAATCAACAGTTTTTATATAGTTTTCCAAAGAATGATCTGGACATGCGGGGTGGGGGGAGGAGGCAGACCTATAGTTTGAGCATTTGGGTTGATAAGACAGGAAGATCCCAAGTCTATTTCCCCTACCACACAGTTTGGATCATCTGAAGCATTATCTCTAGTGATATTATCAGCCCTCCAAGATTTCTCTCAAGTAGTTCCGAGAAACCCGGCATGCTACCCCACTGGTCCAGATGGTAAATAGGTGCTGGAGTGGAGATCTGGATTTTGTAGATTTCCCCATAAAAACTGAAGCAGTTTTGTCCACAATAAGGCCAGAAATGATGCATGGCTACAAATGTGAAAGTTTCAGTTCCAAAGCACCTCTAAGTTCAAAAGCTATGTTAATTTTCTTTTCTGAGACTATGGCACCCCCTAATGGAGACTGCTGTTCTCAATCTCTCTCTCTCTCTCTCTCTCTCTCTCTCTCTCTCTCTCTCTCTCTCTTGTGGTGTGTGTGTGTGTGTGTGTGTGTGTGTGTGAAAACAGTAACAAACAAAACCAGTAGTTTTTCTAGTCAAACTACCCTAGAAAAAAGGAGATGGCACAAACTAAAAGAGTATATATTTGAGACGATATCATGTACTCAGACTGATCTTGAACTTCTCCTGGAGCAGAGCCTAGCCTTGAATTCCAGGTCCTCTTGCCTCCATCTCCAGCAATGGGGGTGGGTTACAAGTGTGCGCTGTAGCACACTCAGTTGAGAGGAAGAAATTTTTTTAATTGAAAAAAATTACATGAAATAGATTTTTAAAAATAGAAAATCAGCTTAACAAACCAGTCCGGGCACCAAGTGTGAACAGGTGAGTTAACATCTAAGAATCACAGACACACTGGCCTTTGAGCCCGGCCTGCTGAGTGCTCAGGCTCACGTCGGCTCTCAGAAGTGCCTTTCTCTTTTTTATCTTCAGAAACCATTTCTACCATTTTCTAAAAATTACAGAAACTGCTGGGCGTGGTGGCACACACATTTCTTTTCTTTTCTTTTTTTTTTTTTTTTTTTTTGGTTTTTCGAGACAGGCTTTCTCTGTGTAGCTTTGTGCCTTTCCTGGAACTCACTTGGTAGTCCAGGCTGGCCTCGAACTCATAGAGAGAGATCCGCCTGGCTCTGCCTCCTGAGTGCTGGGATTAAAGGTGTGTGCCACCACTGCCTGGCGCCTGTTCATATCTTAAAAACAAAAACAAACAAAAACAAACCACCCTCGACAGATTTGGTATCACACACACTTTAATTCCAGTACTCCATAGGCAGAAGCAAGAGGATCTCTGTGAATCTGAGGCCAGCTTGGCCTACATATCACGTTCCAAGCCATCCAAAGCTATACAGTGAGACCCTATTTCAAAATAACTAATACACAAGCCACGTGGTATCTTGAACTGTTCCAGGACTCTGCCAGCAGGGAGCCGGTATAACTTTGAAAAGTAAACACCACCGAGCGGTGGTGGCGCACGCCTTTAATCCCAGCACTTGGGAGGCAGAGCCAGGCGGATCTGTGAGTTTGAGGCCAGCCTGGGCTACCAAGTGAGTTCCAGGAAAGGCGCAAAGCTACACAGGGAAACCCTGTCTCGAAAAACCAAAAATAAATAAATAAATAAATAAAAAAGTAAAAAAAAAAACAAAACACAAAGCCAGTCTGGTCCTCATAGAAAGTTCCAGGACAGCCAGGGTTGTAGATAGAGACCCTGTCTCAAAAAACCTGAATAAAGCCGGGCAGTGGTGGCGCATGCCTTTAATCCCAGCACTGGGGAGTCAGAGGCAGGCGGATCTCTGTGAGTTCGAGGCCAGACTGGTCTAGAGAGCGAGATCCAGGAAAGGCGCAAAGCTACACAGAGAAACCCTGTCTCGAAAAACAACAACAAAAAACAAAAAACCTGAATAAATAAAGGACATTTAAAGAAGGAGGTAGAAGGGGGGATGTCTCAAGTTCCAGGCTTGGGCTATGTAGCTAAACTCTGTTTAAAGATCAAAAAGGGTAGAGGGGCACAGTGGGGATGGCTTTTCTCTGCCCCCAAATAAAAATCACTGGGAAGACAGAGAGGCTGGAGGTTGATGATACCTCGGGGGCTGGAATCATCTGGAACTGCTCATTCATGTGAGTGAATTATGCTGGTTATAATGTGCATACATTGGTAAGTTGTCTTGCGCTTTTGAGCTCACAAGGAAGCTGGCTCTGGAAGCGGGGCTGTCCCTTGCCCCCATTTCAGACCCCAGCACGCTTGTTTCACAGCATGTGACACACAGCGCCCTCCCTGACCCCTTGCCTATGAAGGGGAAGAACAGGGTGTGGCTGCATCTTAGCTGAGGTTGTAAGCAGGATCGCGAACGTGTGGCTTCTCAGAAAGTATCTTTTTTAAAAAAAAATTTATTTTATTTAGCTATTTTACCGTCAGGGCGTTGTACTTCTCATGTCCAGGATGGTGGGTTCTAAGTGAGAACTAAGAGGAAGATGTGTCACTTTGTCTAATAGAACCGGTGTCGTTTCCTCCTTAGTCAGTTTCTCCCAAGGAGGTACAGACTCCGTTGCTTAAGTGAGTAGACAGAAATAGCCAAGATACAAGGTAACGACTGGAAGTTATTCAGTGACTACAGTCGAATGTCCGGTCTTTCTCTCTTGAGAAGCCTGTACCCAAGCTCAGGTATGTAAGCTGTGTCCTGTCTTTTTCCTAAGCTCCTCCTCTGTGCAGCCTTCAACGGCTGTACTTGAGTCTGTATTAAACAAGGTGGCGTCTCTACCTAGAATCACTCCCAGCACTCAGGAGGTGCAGGCAGGAGGATAAGCAACAGTACTTGCCATCTCTCCAGCGCCTGAAGGACTTTTCAAACCGAGATTTTAAACATGAAGATTAAGAGAGACGGGAAAGAATAAGACATACTTAAGTGTTCGTATGGGCTCCTCCAGGGAGAGCCACAAATAAGTGTCTTGACATAAGCCATATATACCTGAGGTTGTATCTCAAACGGTTGCTTAGGAACAGTTGCTTAGGTTGTTCTAGGAGTCAGGGTTTCTGGTGAGAGTCCTGGAACACTGTCTCTCCACAGATGGGAAGGGTCATAATGCCTTAAGTAAATGTTTCGAATTGTGTTTGCAGTACTTTTTTTTTTTTTTAAATCAGATTCTCTCTCTATTATGTAGCTCTGACCATCCTGAAACTCACCAGAACTTACAGAGGTCCACTTGCCTCTGCCCCCTGAATGCTGAGATCAAAGGCATGTGCTACCACGGCCAGTCCTACAGTCCTTGATTCTCAATTGGAATCTTCAGTTCTTCAGCCTGACTCTTTCCCAGATCCCCACAAATGTCCCTGTCTTCCTGTCCTCTTGGCACACAGACCTCTGGATTTCCTCACTCTCACCTCTCTGTGGAAACAGGGTCTCTCTAGTCCTGGCTATCCTGGAGCTTGCTATGTAGCCCAGGCTGTCCTCAAACTCACAGAGATCCCCCTGCCTCTGCCTCCCGAGTGCTGGGATTCAAAGTGTGCGCCACTGGCTCTGTAGAACAGATTTTAAATCAGGGGTCCTCAACCTTGCTACTGCTGAGACCCTTTAATACAGTCTCTCATGTTGTGGTGTCCCCCAGCCATGAAATTATTTTCAATGCTACCCCATAATCGTAATTTTGTTACTGTTATGAGTTGTAATATAAATATCTGATGTGCAGGATATCTGATATATGACCCCAGTGAAAGGGTCGTTTCACCCCTAAAGGGGTCTCAACCTCTAGGTTGAGAACTGAAAACAAAGTGACACTCCAGTGTAAAAAGGAATTTGTGGACATCAGTGTAAATGGCCAGGGTTTGGGATCTAGGCCATCACTTAATGGAATGGGACCACAGTATGTCTATAACTGTTCTTGATGTATAACTTTTTGTTTGTTTGTTTGTTTTTCGAGACAGGGTTTCTCTGTGTAGCTTTGCAGCCTGTCCTGAAACTCGCTCTGTAGACCAGGCTGGCCTCGAACTCACAGGCATCCACCTTCCTCTGCCTCCTGAGTGCTGGGATTAAAGGTGTGCACCACCACCGCCCGGTGACGTCTAACATTTTTTTTTTGTTTTTTTTTTTTTGGTTTTTCAAGACAGGGTTTCTCTGTGTAGCTTTGCGCCTTTCCTGGAACTCACTTGGTAGTCCAGGCTGGCCTCAAACTCACAGAGATCCACCTGCCTCTGCCTCCCGAGTGCTGGGATTAAAGGCGTGCGCCACCACCACCCGGCTACGTCTAACATTTTAATGATGGTGGTTATCTCCTAAGATGATTACAAGGATTTGATGGCACTGTAAATTAGTCTGATACAAAGTAAATGGAAAACGAACAATTATGATTTCAAAGTTCACATTAGTAAATTAAAGATTCTGAAAATTCTGGTGTGATGACTCACGCCTCTAATCCCAGCACTCGGGAGGCAGAGGCAGGCAGATCTCTGAGTTCAAGGCCAGCCTGGTCTACAGAGCACAGAGAAATCCTGTCTCGAAATACAAAAATGTTTACTAAAAAAAAAAACAACCCAAAACCAAACCAAACCAAAACCAAAAAAAACCCTTGAAAGTTACTTAATAAAAGATAATCTTCCGCCGGGCGGTGGTGGCGCACGCCTTTAATCCCAGCACTCGGGAGGCAGAGCCAGGCGGATCTCTGTGAGTTCGAGGCCAACCTGGGCTACCAAGTGAGTTCCAGGACAGGCGCAAAGCTACACAGAGAAACCCTGTCTCGAAAAACCAAAAAAAAAAAAAAGATAATCTTCCAAAGTTAACTCAACTGTTGAGCCCGACGGGGTGGGGGTGGGGTGCACCACTGCAATTACAACACTTAGGCTAAGGCAGGTTGATTTCTGAGTTCGAGACCAGCCTGGTCTTCAGGGCTACGCAAATGAAACCTTGTCTGCGGTGGGGGTGGGGGTGGGGCGATTAGGCAGAAGTGACGGGAACTCAGTTGGAACGAAAGTGCCCGTTTCCCTTGAGAAGGCTGGGGGTTCTCCTGGTCACTGCCCCGGCCACAGAGAGGGCTGGAGGTGCCCTTTCTCTGCTCCTCTCTCCTCCCTCAAGTGTGTGGCCCCCGAGAGTCACATCCGGTCCCCATTGTCCAGAAATGAGCTCAACCCCCAACCCCCCTCCCCTTCCCGTGACTCACGCTGGACTACCCGGAAAGCTCTTTGGGGACCGTGGGACCGGGCAGGAAGGCGGGGCGGCCAGGGGATGAGGCGGGGCAGTCTGCGCCCCGGAGAAGAAACCGGAAACTAGGGATGGGCCAAGTGGTCTGCAAGGCCTCAGGTCCGCAGTTCTGTCTCATGCTTTCTAGAAATGTATTGCAACCCAGGCCAGCCCCAGACTTGTCTGGGACGCCACCACACACACGACATCCCTCTGTTTTCGGTTGGCCTCCGTTGTTAACTAGTTGTTACAACTTGCTTTCTTCCTGGTAGATGGGCCTATCTGCAAAAACCAGCCTCAAGAAATCTTCCACCTCCAAGTCTGTGCTCCATGCTGTGTGTATTATCACATTGTCTGTTAATATAAGAAAATACCATAATGGGTACAAAATGAAGTTTATTTAACTCTCATTTGGAGGCCAAAGGTCCAATATCAAGTGCTATCATGTGTTAGTTCTCTGGTGAGGATCTCATGGTGAAGAGAGGAGACAGATGGAGAGATCCGGTGATCAGGAAGCCCAGAGAACTGAGGGGCCAGACTTAAAAAACAAAACAAAACCAAAAAAACAAAACCAACTTTATCTCAAGAGCTACATTGATGATGAAGGCAACTCCAATGATCTGAGCACCTTCTACTGCTGTGTGTGTGTGTGTGTGTGTGTGTGTGTGTGTGTGTGTGTGTGTGTATGTGTGTCTTGGGCGCACACACTTTTGTGCAGGAATGCAGTTGTGATGCATGGATTAACTTACTTATTGGACCCTACTTTTTTTTATTTTTAATTTATTTTTATGTGTGTGGGTGCTTTGCCTGCATGCATATGTCTGTGCACCAAGCTGCTGGGTGTCTGGTGCTCAGGGAAGCCGGAAGAGGGGGTGGGTTCCTCTGGAGGAGCAGTTCTTAACCACTGAGCTGTCTCTCCAGCCCCATCAGGGCTACTTCTTACAGCTTCTACCACCTCAGCACAGCCACAACAGGGACCAAGCTTCTAGCACACAGACATTTGGGGGGACACGCTTAAACCATATCCAGCCCATGAGGCAACATATTCACGACTCAACACATGGATACATTGGGGCGGTGTTATTTTGCCCAACACGATGGGTCAAGGTCAGGGTCCGGCTAGAGGTTAGTGTATGATTTAGGGTCAAGGTCAAATTGCAGCTCAGTCCTCATCCACCCCTAATGGAACTCGGGGTGATGAGTGGACTCGGAATGCCAGCACAATGGTGAGCTCTTTCCTTCTGATTCCCAGGACGTGGTTTTCACTCTGTGTTCTGGAGTGTTTGGGCCTGAAGGTGAGAGCAGACCATCGCATACTTTGCATTAGATAAATAATTTTTTAAAAAGATATACAAAACAAAAACTCAGGTGGCTGAGGCAGGAGTATCACCTTGAGTTCAAGGCCAGTATGGACTACAGTATGAGACGCTGAGTTCTGTATCATTCTTCAGTTTTGGATGAGTGAATTTTTAAGTATATAGTAAAAAAGTAAAAATTATCCAGGCAGAGTAGCATACACCTTTATTCTCAACAGTAGGGAAGCAGAAGCAAGCAGACCTCTGTGAATTTGAGGCCTTCTTGGCGTATATAAGGAATTCCAGGCCAGCCAGAGCTACATGGTGAGAACTTGTCTTTAAAAAAAAAAAAGAAAGAAAGAAAGGAAGGAAGGAAGGAAGGAAGGAAGGAAGAAAGGAAGGAAGGAAGGAAGGAAGGAAGGAAGGAAGGAAGGAAGGAAGGAAGAAAGAAAGAAAGAAAGAAAGAAAGAAAAAGAAAGAAAGAAAGAAAGAAAGAAAGAAAGAAAGAAAGAGGGGGAAAAGCTATATTAAGAGCACTGTTTGCCTGGTTGCTCTTTCATGGGACTGGGTTCTGTTCCCAGCACCCACATGGCAGCTCCAGTGTCTGTAACTCCAGTTTCAGAGGATTCAATGCCTTCTTCTGGCCTCTGAGGGCACTGTATTGCATGTAGTGCACAGACGTATATGCAGGCAAAACACCTATTAAAATGCACTAAAAATAAATAAAAGAGGCCAGGCAGCTATGGCACACACCTTTAATCCCAGCACTCCGGAGGCAGAGGCAGGCGGTGAGTTCTACAGAGCGAGATCCAGGACAGGCACCAAAGCGACACAGAGAAACCTTGTCTCGAAAAACCAACCAACCAACCAAACAAATAAATAAATAAATGGGACCAGGGAAGTCTGGTTGAGGCAGCCAGAGTTCCCAGTCCAAAGTCGGAAGCAGGCCGTCCTGAGTTCCAAAGGAAGAACAAAGAGCATGCAGCAGAGAGTCACCCGGATGCTTGCTGAAGCCGACATGCTGGAGCTCCCAGCTGACAGTTCTGGCTTTCTTAGTGAGGGCTGGGAACCCGAACTCGGGGTTTCAGGCCTACAAGCAAGCACGTTATTGACTGCCGTCTCTCTCTAGCCATGGGGATTATTTTTTCCATAAACATTGTAATTATTTTGAGATAGAGTTTCTCTGTGTAGTCGTGGCTGTCCTGGAACTCGCTCTAGAACTCAGAGGTCCGCCTACCTCTGTCTCCCGAGTGCTGGGATTAAGGGCGTGCGACACCACTGCTCAGCTCCTGAAACTTATTTTTCTGTGTGTGTATGTATACCACCCACCTGCAGGACGGAGGTGTCAAGTCCTCAGGAACCGGGGTTCCGGGTGGTTGTGGCCCACCTGGGTCCTCCGCAAGACCTCTCGACAGCTGACCCAATTATTTTCCTTCTGGCCCTAGAAAATAATTTTTTAATGAAAATAAAATATATTCTTTCAAACTGATTTAAAAATCAAGGACCTTAAGGTTCCTCGTGGAAAGAGACTGTAGAGAGGGAGAGAGGAAGAATAATTTTCAAGTCCAAGGACTGGACGGTGACATCTTAAACCACGCACAGCAGAGGCAGGTGTAAATAACAGAGATGGGAGCGTCTCTGCTACAGGAAGGTTAATGATGCCGCATTATAAAGCGAGATTTAAAAAAGATCACGGGGAGGGGGTTTGGATCTCAGTACAGGTTATCAACACTGGAGGAGGGGGCATGAGGCAGTCCCCGCTGAAGAGATCAGAGCCCTTCCGGGGGCAGAAGTCAGAACTGACGACTCCACCCACGCACTGAGCAGCCGTTTCTGGCTCTCGGGGTGTCCACAGTGCCTTCTGGAAGACACGATCCAGAAGCTGAAGGGCAACACAAGAACCTGCGGGTCTCTCGCTGCAGAAACAAAATCCACCCTAATTAGTGTCACTGCCCTGGGAGGAACGGTTCATCGCCACCACTCTGCCCTCGCTCGCGTAATTGTTAACTGCGATGTTCCAGTCCTCATAGAAACCAGGAGACGTGGGATTTCACTCTGAATTGCTTAGATCCTTCAGTGGGTTCTCACTTTAAATTCTTTCGATCCTTCTATAGGGGTGAAAAGACGAAAATGAAAAACACAAAGCTGCTGTTTCCGCCCGGTTTCGAACCGGGGACCTTTCGCGTGTGAGGCGAACGTGATAACCACTACACTACGGAAACTAGCTGCTCACCAACTTCTTATAAGCAAGTTACATTTGGAGTAACTTTATTGTTTTCTGGCTCTTGTTCTTAAATTCAGCCCAGCAAATCAGGCAGGTTCCACTCTGAGGTTAGATGGCTTTCACCCGTGGAGGTACGATGGTACCGCCGAAGAAAACGGCCAGCAAGACTAAGGCCAGGACCCCGAGGCCATGGGAAGAGCTCCAAGCTTCCGTAAACACCCATCGTTTTTCAGATCCTGAGGGTCTGGAAATGCCTGGCTCATGAGTCTAGGGCACCCCCTGGTGCCCAGCATCTGCTGTGCCGCGGGATTAGAGAAAAATGGAGCAGACATCAGGCAGGAAGCCACTTAGGTGAGGGCCTTGGCATGAAGGACGCCGCAAGCCCAGGCCAGAAACAATGAAAATGCATCTTACGTTTGTCCTGAACCTAAGTAGAAAACGTTTTCAGGCTTTTTAGTCTAGCTCTTTTTTTTTTTTTTTTTTTTAAATGAGTCAAAATGTATATTTATTCATTTCTGGCATTTGAAATGCTCTTCGATGACATTCTTGGCATTAGTACTTAACCACTGCACAGCTGCATCCCATTGGCCGCTTTATAGGGTTTCCCTCTGGGTCGGTTTCGCAGAGGCCTGCCCATTCCCCTAGGTTTTTTTTTTTTTTCAACCATCAACCTTCGGTACTCAGCCCTAAGGTCTCCCTCCAATTTACAGGCTCTTCACACTTGGGTGCAAACTCCAACTTGGTGCTTAAAGAATTTGAATTTTACCTGTTATCTGTATTATGTAATTACAGCATTTAATGCCTACAGAGTGTTCACTATTTCCCAGTTGTTATCCTGTGTTATCTTGACCTACCTTTTTGTTTTGTTTTGAAGCAGGATCTCTCCATGTTGCCCTGGCTGCCCTGGAACTTGATAGATAGAGACTATGCCTGCCTTTGCCTCCCAGGAGGTGAGATTAAAGATGTCTCTAACCTCCTAGGTTTGTTTTTATGTTACAGTGTAAATACTTGTAAAAATTAGCTCAAACCAGCCATAGTAGAAGACATGTGTGATCTTAGCACTCAGGAATTCTAAGGCAAGGAAAGGTGAGGTTTGTGGCCAGCCTTAACTATAAGCCAAACCCTTTCAAAAAAACAAACAAGAGGTCAGGTTCCTTTGCCAAGTCTTTACTCGGGAGGAAGAGGCCAGTGGATCTCTATGAGTTCAAGGTGGACCTGCCTGTTTGGAATTAAAGGTATTCACCACCATACCCAACTGGTCATGACCTTTTGTCAGAACACGATGGGTACAGAGTGGGAACAGTTATCCCTGATGGTCTAGTCGCTAGAATTCGGTGCTTTCACCTCTGAGGGCTAGGTTCCATTTCCAGTCAGGGAATCTTGTTCAAACTCATTCTTAACCCATTTTTGGGGAACATTTATACTTTAGAAATCAACATAGAGGCAGGTGGTGGTAGTGCATACCTTTAATCTCCGTACCCAGGAGGCAGAGACAGGCAGATCTTTCTACAGAACAAGTTCCAGGACAGCCAGATCTACACAGAGAAATCCTGTCTCAATAAACAAACAAACAGAAAAAAAAAAGAATTCACATAGAAAGATTGGATTAACATACATAGTATTAATAGGATAGAGGTCCTCCTTCCCTCCCTCCCTTCCTTTTGTGTATTTACTCCCTGTTCATTGGGCCCCCAAGAGCAGGTGTTGTCCAGAGGTTTGGACTGCACAGGTAATGTCACCGGTTCCCCTGCTGTCTCCACTTGGATGGTTCTTCTCAGGGAGCCCAATTAGGGAGCCCAATCAGGACACTTAACTCCTTTACATATTTTAGGAATGGAGTCATTCTCAATTCGTTTGATCGGGTGGGGCGGCAGAGGAATGAGGACACACTTCTGTCCATAATAAACTTTATATGTGAAATGAGCTAAAATGAGTTCAGCAAAAGCAGGCTCTGAGATCACCAAGGTCCATGGTGACAGTGACAGGTCCTCAGTGAGCTTCACCCATAGTCATGTGCTCTTCAGGATGTTTGAAAGGTGGACCAGGCTTTGACAAGTAGAGCAGAGGATTGTGGAGTATTTGTCCACAGTTGTAATATTGACTAGATGTAAAAGCAAGATTTCCTAACCAAGAATTAAACCCAGGCCAGGGTGGTGACTGTAATGAACCCGAGTCACTAGACCACCAGGAAGGCATGATGAATATTTTTACATAGTGCACTCTGGGAAAACTTTTCAGGACTAGTTTGAATATTTTTGTTTGCTTGTTTGTTAGTTTTTCTGAGATGAGGTCTCATGTAATCTAGGCTGGTCTCCAACTTGACAGGTAGCCAAAGATGGCCTTGAACTCCTGATCCTACTGCCTCTGCATCCCAAGTGCTGGGATTGCAGATGTGGGCTGTGGTGCCCCTTTTTGAGTATGTTCTAGTAGCTTTTAGATATGCCTGAATATTTGGGAGAGGGTGTTTGTGTCTCTGGTACATTGGCTGCCTCTTGGGTCAGACATAGGTGGAGGTTTCATTGACGGAAAATGTGGAGCAAGACTATTACAAATCACACTAGGGAAGAGAAGAGTCCTTCTTGCAGTACGTCTGTCTGGCTGTACTGCTCCTTTGGGGCCCCATTTTCTTAGGAAGGGCCCTGTGCTGTGTGAAATGTGTCGGGATTTTGTGCATTCCCCAGTTGATCCATTTGATGTCAGTTTAGCTCCCAAACCCCAGTGGGACTCTGAGAGGTCAGAGGCTGCGCTTTGGCTGTCCCTAAGTCCTTCCAAATTGGCCAAAAATCAATCTTTTTTATTTCCCCTGGTTTTAATGTCTGCTGTGAAAAATTAATGGAGTTAGCAGAACATGGTAGCCAGCACTTAAGAGATAAGAAGCAAGGGGCAGGATAATTGCCTCAAGCTTGAAGCCAGCCAGGACTTCACAATGAGTGGGTGTGGGAATAAGAGAGCGTAATAGTGAAGATGAATACTAGCCAAGTAATAGATACGTGAAAATATATATATATTACTATATATTGTATAATAGAATATGACAGAATGTTGTAAGGGCTATTCTTGGTTGTCAACTTAACTATATTTAGAATTCACTAAAAGGATTCTCAAAGAATTAATAAAAAGAGGCTTTTTAAAAAAGTTGTATTCGCCGGGCGGTGGTGGCGCACGCCTTTAATCCCAGCACTCGGGAGGCAGAGGCAGGCGGATCTCTGTGAGTTCGAGGCCAGCCTGGGCTACCAAGTGAGTTCCAGGAGAGGCACAAAGCTACACAGAGAAACCCTGTCTCGAAAAACAAAAAACAAAAAAAAAAAAAAAAAAAAAAAAGTTGTATTCATGGGGGGCTGGAGAGATGGCTCAGAGGTTAAGAGCACTGGCTGCCCTTACAGAGGTCCTGAGTTCCCAGCAACATGGTGGATCACAACCATCTATAATGAGATCTAGCACCCTCTCTGGCCTGCAGGCATATATGCAGATAGAACACTGTATACGTAATAGGTAAATAAATCTGCCATGGGGGTAGGGGGTGGTGGACGCCTTTAATCTCAGCACTTAGGAGACAGAGGCAGGTGGATCTCAGTGAGTTTGGGGCCAGCCTGGTCTACAAACCGAGTTCCAAGACAGCCAGGACTGTTACACAGAGAAACCCTGTCACCAAAAACCAAAAGAAAAGAAAAGGTTTTAGTAATGGATGTAATTGTCTCTGGCTTTTAAGAGTCCCAAAGCCGCTATTTATCATTTGGAGTTCTCTTCTACTAATGGAAAATTCAGCAAAGACTTCTGACATTCTAGCCATAGTTCCCACCAATTACTCAGAGGTTCCTGATTAGAGACACTGAGGATGTCACACCTGAAGGGGTTAAATGTTCAAATGATGAAATGATCTTGGGAAAAGTCCGTCCTGGGCAGCTGGGTACTGTTATCACACGCTGTGTTTTCTGCCCTCTGTATTACCATCACCGAGATCCCCTGGAGTTTTGCAAAAGATTTGCACGTTTAGGGATCAGGAGCCCAGAAGACTCAAGTCAACCATCTATCTGCCTGCGTTGCAGTATCCAAGAGGATGATGGAGAGCTCACCAGGAGCGGGTGAGGCAGTCTAGAGAGATTCTTTTCAGAACTAAGAGCCCGCGATGTCGTAAGGTGATCCTGGGCGCTCTGCGTGGCGTGTGTGTGCCGCGTGTGATGGTAGCGGTGTGTCGACTGGGCACCAAGAGAAGCAGAAAAACTGAGATGTGCAAATTGTAAATTTCCGGGCTTCGGAAAGAGTAGGGACCGGATGAGCACTGAGGGTAAGAGGGTTAGAACGGACAGGAGTGCAGAGGCGATGAGAAATGTACGGTGCATGGTGAGGTGGTGCTGAACAGCATGAGGACAATGAGAAATCTTTGAGGAAAAGGAAAACTTACTGTAATGGATACTAGGAAATGGCGGTTACATAGTTAAAAGCAACACTTCCCTGACCGGGAATCGAACCCGGGCCGCGGCGGTGAGAGCGCCGAATCCTAACCACTAGACCACCAGGGAGTGATAGGAAAAAGTTTCCCTTAACACATCCTAGCTGTGATTAGATGTTCATTACTACTTATAGATTGGACTGCTTGATAGCCAGTTATTCTTGATGACGCTGGAAATTCTCCGCTCCCCACATCCTCAAAAACGTCTCGGCCCCGCTGCCTCCCTCCTTCCTTCCTTCCTTCGCTCAGACGAGCGATCGGTCGGTCGCGCAGTCTCGGGACAAGCTGAGGAGATGTCAGGGCCACCTTCGGCCCTGGACCTTGGCAAAACACCGGCAGCTGCGTTGGCCGGGAATCGAACCCGGGTCAACTGCTTGGAAGGCAGCTATGCTCACCACTATACCACCAACGCCGCACCGCCGGGACGGCACCCACACGACGCCGGGGACTGACACCCGACAGTGCACAGCGGCGACGGCGACATCGCCTACCGGCTCCCGCCCTGAGCCCTCCCCACGGGGAACGTCCGGATGTCAAAGCCAACGCCCCCGCCCGAGCCACCGCCGACCGGGGCTCCGCCGCTGCGCGCTGTTCCCCGCCGTCCCAGCCGCGCCTCCCGCACGCACACGTCGGGCCCTGAGGGCGCTCTCGCCACCTGACTGCAGCAGCAACCCGGCGTGCGCGAGGGCCACGGGGAAGAGCGGGCGTCCGGGACCGCTCGGGGCGGGTCACCACCAAGACTCGCCTGGCGCACCGGGGGCTCAGGACACGAGAGCCGCACGCCCCAAGGGCCAGCGCGCCCGAGGCTGGCTGCCCGTCTGACTAAAAAAAAAAAAATACAAGGCGTCTCCTCGTCGGGGAATCGAACCCCGGTCTCCCGCGTGACAGGCGGGGATACTCACCACTATACTAACGGGGAGGACGGCGACGACACCCTCACCGCGACACGGGGCCCTCGCCGTCGCTCCAGCCAGGCCCTAAGCTCTCCCTCCCGCCATGGCCGACCCCTGCACCCAACCCGAGTCCCCGGGACGCCGCCACAACGCCCCTCGCACCAGGACCCGGCCCCGCGGGCATTCACCCAGTAGTTGTCCTCTGCCTTCTTCTCCGGAGAAGAGGCTCCGGCTGGCAGGCATGCATTGTTGCTGCGCTGGTTCCTACACCGAAGATGGTGGGACGCGGCCCGGCTGGGGAACGACCCGAGAGCCGGGGGCTTGGAGCATCGTGCCCACCTGAGTAGACTGCGGTTGCTTCTTTTCTGTGGAGAGCTCCGCAGCTTCGATCTGGAGTCCGGGTGTCCCGGCTGCCGGACCCAATCACCGAAGGATGAGCGAGCGCCTTCACGTTGTCCCTGCCAAGTGGGCTGCTGCACGCTCCGACGCGCAGTCAGGATGGCCGAGCGGTCTAAGGCGCTGCGTTCAGGTCGCAGTCTCCCCTGGAGGCGTGGGTTCGAATCCCACTCCTGACAATCTCCTTTTCTCACTTGGCTTCTTCATTGTCAGCAATTTGCTGCTTTCATGCATCTTTTCTCTTCCTGTCTAGACATAAATATCAAACTTTATATGCACCTGAACTGACCCTCTCCACTCCCCCGCCCCTAGTCCCAGTCCCCGCTCCCTTTTCTTGGGGATGCTAGGCAATCGGTGCCATTGAGGCACACCCCAGGTCCTTTTATACTCAGGCCTTACTTCATTGTCTCTAAATGTTGTCAGCCTCACCCCTCACCCCTCACCCTCACCGTAAGTTAATATTTCTAGTTTTTCTCCTGATTGCTTCTGCGTTTTCGATCTTCGCTAAAAGAGTATTACACTTCATGCTGAACCTTTTTCTAGGCCCTTTACAATTTTGTTTCCACATTTGGTACAGTACTTTATTCTAATTACATGTAGAACTTTTTTTCCCCCTCACTGCTTTCTGATACTAGTCTTTACACACTAAATTTCTGATGTGTGTACTTAATTCTGAACTTTATTCATGTTCGGCTTGTTTGTGGGTTTTGCCCAGGCCTTGGGAATACTGGACAAGTACTTTACGTGTTAGATACAACCCCTGCTCCTTTCGAAGTTTTGAGACGGCGTCTCACAGAGTTGTCCAGAGTGGCCTCAAACTGTGTGGCACAGGCTGGCTTCACACTTCAGATCCTCCTGCCTTGAACTCGGATTGAAGCCGCCCCAACTCTCCATCCTTCCCCTCCTGCGTTCCCCGACACTCCCTTTCTCCCCCTTTCACTATCCTTTAAGTAGCACTTTTTTTTGGGGGGGGGGGTTCGAGACAGAGTTTCTCTGTAGCTTTGGAGCCTGTCCTGGACTAGCTCTGTAGACCAGGCTGGCCTCAAACTCACAGAGATCCACCTGCCTCTGCCTCCCGAGTGCTGGGATTACAGGCGTGGGCCACCGCCGCCGCCGCTTTTATTTGTTTTTTGTTTTTTTTTTAATGTGTAAGTGAGTGTTTGCCTGAACGTATGAGCACCATGCTGAATGCAGTGCCTTCAAGAGGCCTGAAGAGAAAACCCAGACTCCTGGAGTTACAGCAGTTGTGAGCTGCCATATGGGTTCTGGGAACCAAACCTGACCCCTCAGTAAGATGTGGCTGGGTTGATTTTGAATTTGCTGGTTAGTTGAAGACGGGCTTGAACCCCTGATTCTTCTGTCTCTACCCGGGAGTACTTAGATTACAGGCCTGCACCACCACACCTGGTTTACATTTTATTATTGTTGGTAGTCGTAGAATTATTATTATTACAGATGTATGCTATGTGCACTTGTGGAGGTCAGGGGACAGCTTTGTGGAGTCAGGGATGGCAAATATTTCCTGAATGTATTTCTCCCAAGAGCAGAGCAAGATAGGTGTTGCATGAATCCTAGATGGTCTTACAATAAAAACTCGGAGCCAGATATCAGGGTGAAAGCTGAACGATAAGAGAAACAGAGCAAGCCACAGCCACCACCTCTTACCTTACCAACTCCTCAGCCTGATAGAGCATCTGCAAGAGAGCGGATTCCTCTCTCCTCCCACCTCACATTCCTTCTCTGGCTAGCCATATCACTTCCTGTCTCAGCCTTCCAGAGCGCTGGGATTAAAAGTGTGTGCCACCACTGCCTGGCTGTTTCTCTTTTAGATTGGTTGAATCTCATTTTGCCCAGTGTGGCCTTGAACTCGGGGAAATCCAGAAGGATCTCTACCTCTGCCTCCCGAGTGCTAGGATTAAAGGTGAGTGCCATACTGCCTGACCTCTATGGCTAACTCTGTGCCTGGCTCTGTCCTCTGATCTTCAGGCAAGCTTTATTACAAACAATAGATCACCACAGGTAGGGAAGAGGCTTTTCTGTACAAGTTAGGTTGAGGATCACAAGAGTAGTCAATGGGAGAGGAGCCTTTTGAAATTGGATGCAAAGCGCAGCTCAGCCCTCAAAGGGAGTAAGAAGTTTATTCTGAACTAAATATGAATGACCATAGCTTGGGAACATGGATTCAGTTTGCCCCCAAAAACCATGTTTCAGTATGGAAGCTGTTACATGAATTTTTATCGTCACAGAACAAAATAAACCATTAGCTAAGGTACATTTTAAATATACTGGGGCAAACAGAGGTAGGGAGAAGCAGAGTGGGAAAACTCTACTACAGGCTTTGAATGTTCTCGGATGCCATTCTCAGTGTATGGGTTAGACACTAGAGATCTGTGGAGGCTTTGATGGTGCATTGGGGTTCTTAGTTACATGGGTTGGGTCAAAATTACAGCTTTAGCAAAAGCCAAAAGCTGCAGGGGAATCAGTCTCTGATGGACCGACTGCCAAGGAGCTTTGCAGCAGCTCTTTATCGTTACATAAAAGACACTTTTATCAAGCCATTTTTTTACGTACCCAAACTTCTTATCTCATGTAGGAGTTGTCTGAAGGAACCATTGCATTACCTAAGCAATTCTCAGCCATAGGAGACTTCCTGGTTTGCCAGGTATGTCTCAAGACTAAGTCCTACATAGGCTCTGTAATCCCTTCAGGAAAAGCAATTCCATAAACCTTAGATAACAATCACTGACTATTTACAAAAGGTTTCTTCAAAGTTTAGGTGCCACCACTCCAGAATTCACGCCAGATACAAGGGCTCTGCTGGAGCTCTCACTACAATGGTGAAAAACATGTTCAGTCTGATATCGAGGTGAACATGAATGGCTATCAAGGAGACCAAAGTAGCCCCAAATAGTTTGGCTCTGAGCCTGAAAACAGTCCCTCTCTCTACAGCCGTGAAGTAATCAGTCGATCAGCCTTGTAGAATCTTTGACTAATCCCGTCCACCCCTTCCCATGAGACGCAGGGATTAAAGGCATGTGCCACCTCCTCCAGCAATGATTAATTTTTTTAATCTTAAAAATCAGCAAATAGCCAGGTGGCTTTAATCCCAACACTCAGGAAGCAGAGCCAGGCAGATCTCTGTGAGTTCGAGGCCAGCCTGGTCTACAGAGCAAGATCCAGGACGGGCACCAAAACTACACAGAGAAACCCTGTCTCGAAAAACAAACAAACAAACAAACAAAGTCAGCAAATAATGTAAGCAACTCACAAGTCTCAAGAAGTCCCCGAATCATAAAATATTCACAAGGTCGCTCTATTCCCAAGCTTATATGAGCAATAAGAACTGCTGTGGGCAAGAGTCTCTTCAACCTATTGGGCTTCCCATAAGTCATTGCAGAGAGCTCCAGGGAATGCAGCTTTCATGAGTCATCAGTCAGATTGGGGTGAGATTTGCAGTAATACAGCTGCCTCTGAGTCATCCATACCTGTAAGTAACCCCTCACCCACACTTCTATAAATAACCCCAATAAACTAGTTGGTTTGCCACTGTCTGCTGAACAGAGATCAGTACAACTAAAGATGACTTTGGGAGGAGAAATCACATCTAGGCCTGTAGGTACCCAGGTACGCAACTGAAACTGAACAGTCTGAGGGCAGAGCATCTGCAACGGCAATCCCCAAATACCATATTTTCCCCCACATCCTGGTAATGTGCCTTCTTGCTGTGCCAATGGTTGCATGGGCCTGGCTACAGGTAGTGAGACTTAACTAAGGGTATACCATTGAGAAGTGGAGTGTCCACTTGGCAACTCTTATAAATGAAAACATTTAATTGGGGTGGCTCACCTAGTTTCAGAGGTTCAGTCCATTATCATCATGATGGGGAGCATGGCTGTGTGCAGGCAGACGTGGTGATGGAGAAGGAGCTGAGAGTTCTACATCTTGATCCACAGGCGACAGGAAGTCAACTAACCATCACACTGAGGGAAGCTTGAGCAAAAGAGACCTCAAAGCCTGCCCCCACAGTGACACACTTCCTCCAACAAGGCCACACCTCCTAATAGTGCCACTCCCTTTGGGGGCCATTTTCTTTCAAACCACCACACGCCTGAAACAGAACCGGTTATTAGCAGTAACTTGTTGAAGTTATCTTACTAATAAAAAGCCTACAAAATTATTTTTCACTAAAAAAATGCAGGTAAATTATTTCTCCCACACTGTTAATTTGCAGGTCACATTCACATGTTACTCAGGATCTTTTAAAAAAAAATCCCCATTTTAAGATTTTATAACAATATTCCATAGGTATTGCCAAAGTTATATCCTAAAATCCTATAGAGATTGCGTTTAATGCTTTTATAGATGACTCTTAAAAAGGACAAAGAGCATGTTTACACACAAATTCCACATGCTCCACAAAAAGATTGTACTCACTCTGGACTATACAGCTAAAAATCGAAACTCTCTGTAATCAATCAGCTTTTATTAGATATTCCTCGGTCATTGGATAGTTTAACTGACTCTGCTATTTACTTAAATTTGGATGACAGCTGGCTGTTGTGGGATATTTGTACACCGTGTGAAGATATATTCCTGTGACTGGTTTAATAAAGAGCTGAACAGCCAGTAGCTAGGCAGGAGGTATAGGTGGGACTTCCGGGCAGAGAGAGAGGAAGTAGGAGATGAATCTAGGTGCAGGTCAGACGCCAATGAGACATGGAAAGAGTCAGACACGCAGAATGAAAGAAAGGTAAAAACCCACGAGGCAAAAATGTAGATTAATATAAATGGGTTAATTTAGGTTGTAAGAGCTAGTTAGGAACAAGCCTGAGCTGTAGGCCGAGCTTTCCTAATGAATAGTAAGTCTCCGGGTAGTCATCTGTGAGCTGGTGGCCGACAGCAAAGCATACTCCAGCTTACTGGATGGACTAGGAAGAGTCAGAGTCTGATGGTCACAATGGATAGCTCTGGAACGCCAGTGTGCACATCCTCATCCAACATGGGTATCCTTAAAGAAGACCGAGGTCCGCATTAACTGACCTCATATATAAACCGCACAGGAAGGACAGAAAAGCACTAAGAATGGAAAGTGTCCTAACTCAAGAGAAAAAGAATGTTGCATAAGGAATGGGAATGTAGAAAGGATATAGTGGGAGGAAATATTTGGAATGAGGTACTTGAGAATAGAGTCTAGCTGGAATGGATGGTACATGAATAGTTTGGAGACAGACATGGAAAGGGCACAAAAGTGGAGAAAAGGCTTAATGTGCATCTTCAGCTCAGTTTCCTTGCTTTAAAAATAGTAATAAGGGTCGGAGAGATGGCTTAGAGGTTAAGAGCATTGGCTGCTCTTCCAGAGGTCCTGAGTTCAATTTCCAGCAACTACATGGTGGCTCATAGCCATCTATAATGGGATCTGATGCTCTCTTCTGGCATACAGATATACATATTTCCATAAAATAAATAAATCTTTTTTTTTTTTGGTTTTTCGAGACAGGGTTTCCCTGTGTAGCTTTGTGCCTTTCCTGGAACTCGCTTGGTAACCCAGGCTGGCCTTGAATTCACAGAGATCCGCCTGGATCCGCCTGGCTCTGCCTCCCAAGTGCTGGG